CCCATTGTTTTGTAATACTGGAAATCAATTAAAATTCTGGATTTCACCAAGTTAAAAAAAAATGTTTTTAAACAGCCACTTGAGTTTTGCTCAATTTGTATTTTTCTAGTGTCATAAATTGCCATTTTTGCTTGACCCAAAAGAAAATTTAATAACTGACAAAAAAAACGTCGTTTACGTGTATACTTATAACCACAAATAAACGTTTCCATAGAAAATGTCTCGCCAAAACAAACAAACAAGTTAGATAAGACCTGAAAAAAGGAACTAAGCCTGTTACATAACATAAAAGCATGATATAGGGTTTCACGTTGAGAACAAAATGGACATTCATCACTATTACCTGGATTTATAATTGAAACAAACGCATTCACAGCTATGGCACCATGCAAGATTCTCCATTGCAAATCCCCCACTTTTTTTGGTAAGGGGGGTTTATACAGAGCTCTCCACTCTGGTTTAGCATTCTCTTTTAAATGGAGAACAGAGCGCCATGGAGTATCAACCTTATCATTCAGTGACTTCCTATTTAGCAATTTCACACAACTATTATAAACATTTTTTCCAAACTCAGAATTGGTTCCCATTAAAAACAACACATTATTTTGCAAAAAAACACCTTCACACTCCTTAAAATCAGTTGATAAATATAAATCAGGAAAAGGATCATTGCAATTTGGAATGATTAAACCATCAGCATAATTTTCCAACATGTTAGCTTCTTCAGGGGTAAAAAAGGATTTCCACTTTTCAAGTAACTTTGCTACTATTCGTTTGGACCTTAAACCCAAACGATTCGCAACAGGTTCAACATTCCTAAAAGCAGGGCCAGCCAGTTTAAACAAGTGTCCAACAGTTACAACTCCCGCATTCAGAAGAATCTCGTTAACAGAAGGGAGAATCCCCTCATTCGATAAGTCCATTCGAGATCCAAAAATCAAAGGTTCTTGGAGCAACCAAAATAAAGATGATGCATTGCCATGCCTCTGTACTTTAAATAGAGACCAAACTTTAAACATGTTTCGATAAAAAATGGGCAATTTAGACCAGTCCATCTTTTGTGGGTCAGTCCAAAATAAAGATTTCTCAAGGCCCAAATTTCTAAACCCTCGCAAAATAGCACATGCAGCAATTTTCCAACTAGAGTCCACCGGACCAGTCAGAAGTCTTTGAATGAACTGAATCCTGAAAGCTGCAACTCTGCTCTGGATATGCATTAAATGATGTCCTCCTTCTTCTTTCGGTAAGTACAAAATAGCTTTTTGTACCCAATGCATCTTGTCCCAAAAAAAGTCTATCAAAAGTGACTGCAATTTTATTAATAAGTCACTTGGAGGGTCCACACAAATTAATCGATGCCACAGAGCAGAAGCGATTAGATTGTTTATGATCAACACTCGTCCTTTATAGGAAATTTTAGAAAGTAAAAATTTCCATCTTTCAAGTCGACCTCTGACTTTTTCAATAATGTCTTCAAAATTTTTCTGCATGATCAGCTCATCTCCCAAAAACACTCCCAAATACTTAAAACCTTGCTTAGTCCAAGTTAGTCCTTCTGGAAGTTTTGGCTCTGCGTTGTGCCAATTTCCAACTAATAAGGCTTCGCTTTTTGACCAATTGATTTTTGTGGCAGATATCTTTTTAAAATCATTCATTAATTCCAGTAACAAGGTAACATCAATCTGCCCATTAATTAAAACAACAATATCATCAGCATATGCAGACACTTTAAAACAATTTGTACAACTTGGTAGAGATAACCCACTTAATTTCGCTCTTATTTTAATTAGCAGAGGCTCTATAGCTAAAGTATACAACATACCCGATAAGGCACATCCTTGTCTAATGCCCCTAAAAACTTTAAAAGGGGCACATAAATTCCCGTTAAATTTCAAGACACTTTCCACATCGTTATATAAAGCTTTTAACATAGATACAAACTCATTGTTAAAACCAAAGGCTGTTAAAGTGTTCCACAAATATTTGTGCTCAACTCGATCGAAAGCTTTTTCTTGATCAAGAGAAAGAAGGCCAAAATTCAAATTAAAAATTTTTCCAATATCTAAAATGTCTCTGATAAAAGAGATATTATCAAATATTCGCCTTCCTGGAACACAATATGACTGGTCCGGATGAATGATATGGCTAAGGACATCACTTAGCCTGTTAGCTAAAACTTTAGAGAGTAATTTATAGTCAGTACATAACAGGCTAACAGGCCTCCAATTTTTAATATCATTAAGATCACCTTTCTTGGGTAATAAAGTAAGCACTGCCCTTCTACAACTTAAAGGTAATTGTCCATATGCCAAACTTTCATTTATAACTTGCAATAAGTCCAAACCGACTTCTTTCCAAAAAGTCTTATAAAATTCGGCTGGTAAGCCGTCAATGCCAGGGACTTTATTACATTCCATACTTTGAAGTGCTTTTTGTAATTCTTCTAGTGTGACAGCCTTCTTTAACTCAACATTAAAATCTTGAGGAACTTGGGGTAAATTGTTAAAAAAATCACTTGTATCTGATTCATCAGAAATGATCTCACTCTTATAAAGGTCTTGATAAAAATTAACTGCCCTTTTTCTTATTTCAGAAGATTCTGACAGCAAAATTCCGGTCTCAGAGAGCAGGTTATATATACATCTTTTTTGCCCATTCTTTCTTTCTAGATTAAAGAAAAATTTGGATGGTGCATCCATCAACTCGATATTCTGAAATCTTGACCTGACAAGAGCTCCTTGAGCAGTCAGGTCAAGTAAATTGTTTAGAGAATTCTTTTTTTCTTTAAAATTCCTTATAAAACCCAAGTCTCCTGAAGCATCTGCTTTTTCTTGCATGGCTTTAATTTCATTCTCTAATACTTCAATTGTACTTTTCCTGTCCTTTGTAACATTAATGGTGTATTGCTGGCACAACTGTTTGACTTGTGTTTTTGCAAAATCCCACCACTGTTGTATGGAGCAAAAGGTTGATTTTGTAGACTTAAAGTTACTCCAAAACTCCTTGAAAATATCTTGAAATGTACAGTCACTTAGTAAATTAGTATTTAAATGCCAGTAAGCACTTTTTGGCCTAAACTGGCCCATAGTAACAGAACATTTTACTAAGCTATGATCGGAGAAGCCAACAGGAGAAATAACACATTCTTTAAATAAATTAAGTTGGTGCCTATATCCATAAAATCTGTCTAACCTGGCTAAAGATAATAAATTATCATAAGTGTGTAGCCAAGTATACTGTCTTTGATAAGAATTAAAATTCCTCCATATATCAGTAATATCATTAAAATCATCTGTATAAGTCTTCTCTTTAAGAAAAGTTTTAATTTCGTGTGCAGTATAGTTCTTGCTAGAATAGCCGCTCAATGGTAAACTGAAACTGACGCTACATTCAGAGAAATCCCTTTCGCTTTCCGTGTCTGTTTGACCCGGTTCATCACCAGCACCTCTCTTTGCTCGCTCATTTAAAGGACACTGTTCCCGCCTACGTTTCTGAGGTGTTTTAAATAAATTGTCATCCAACTCTGCTATCGCACCTTCCCGCTGATCAAACAATTCACTCACCACAGCTTCCGCAGCGGTTGAAACGTTCTCAACTTCATTCATTTCATCACCCGTGACAATCATATCTTCTTCGTCCACAGCTCTGTCCACTGATTCCCTTTCTTCAATATTCCCAGGCTCAGTCAAAACAGCAGCTGTCTGACCTGAGCTTGGTCCAGGTGCTTCCTCTTCTACAACCTGCGCCGCAGCGGTCTGATTTTCCTGACGCGCGTCACTCTCATCAGTCGCAACCGGTAAAGTTGCCTCATTTGATTTATTGTCCACCTTATTGGGACATCCGCGAATTAAATGCCCGTAACCGCCACAGTTAAAACACTTAACGTTATTTGTTGTGGCGAAAATAACATAAAGTCCTCATGTCGGAAATTTAGGGACAAGTCAAGTTCATCAAGATGTTCTTGCAAAACCATGTACACGTACCGTCTAAATGACACAACATGTTTTAGGAGCGGCGATTTAGTTCCGATCGGGATCATTTTAATAGGTGAAACTATTTTCCCATAACGCTTAAGTAAGTTTGTCAACACTTCGTTAGGGATAAAAGGTGGCACATTCGACAACGTTACTTTTTTTGAGGGTGTAGACAAAGGAAGCACCGGTGTAAAAATACCGTTAATCACTATTCCATTTTGAACTAACAAATTAGCTAGATCAACAGTTTTCACAAAAACAACAACAGCGCCATTCATTCGGGAAGCTGATAAAATATTATCATGCCCGACTTCTTCCCCCACTGCTAAACCACATTCTTCAATACTAGCAGTTGAGTCTATTTTCACTCCGTGACGTCTTGTCAACTCATTAAAACTTCCACTACCTGGGGCAGCCATACTCTCAACAGGTGAGAGCAGGGACTCCCCGGCTCAAACCAACACTCACTTCTCTAATCCAAAAACATAAAATAATACTTACTAACAATGTAAGGAAACAAAAACTATAATTAACGCTAACAAAAAAAAGGAAAGCAGCAGGTAAAGATAGAGAAGTATAGACCACACTAGTGACCACTTAAAATGGTCACTAGTCATGCCAAAGCAGTAATAAATCCAAACTTCTAAAACCACTGCAGGAATTCAATTCAAAAATTAAAGCTTCTGGAAATGGGAAGATGCACTCCAACTGTTAATGTTAGTACAAAAGCAAAACCAAAATACTTTTAGCAGAGCTCACAGAATAGGCATATTGCTAAAGCATATAGACTGAAAGATTCCTCAAATAAGTGTAATAGTTACTATTTAAAAGTAGTTAAATAGACTTTAAATATTGTTTTTCAACAATTGTGAATTTACCAGCATGGCAGTGTAGTTAAATTTAAACCGTTAAGCATGTTTTCAGAAACACGTTACCAGATCAAATTGAACCAAATCACTTAAGCCTGTTCTGACTTTTGGAAACGGAGCAACTTCACTTAAAATAAATCCCAAGAGACAAATATATAAAAATCATTAAGACGTTTATTAAATTAAAAACGGTCATGCAAGACCAGAAAGTAAAACATAAAAATCTCTTCCTACACAAACAGGAGACGATAACACTAGTCCAGAAAGTCGGTGCGTCACACATAAGCTCCTGGAGCAGACCTGGGAGCAGAGTACTTAACAGAATAAGCGCGACCCTCGTTCTTCGGGCACTGGCAGCAGAGCAGTGCTCCGCCGAGCAGCAGCAGACCGGACGCGCACCAGCCGATGAAGAGTGACGCTCCCAGCTCCCGTTTCTGAGCATCGGACAGGGTGGGGTTGTAGAAATCCTTGATGACGGAGTTCGCGGACCAGCACACCGGGATCAAACAAAGAATTCCACCAACCAGGAAGAACACTCCAGCGGCGACCACGACTTTAGCCTTCGCGTCCTGGTCCTCAATGCAGTTGGTGCACTTTCCTCCAGCGATGGTCAGGAAAACGCCCATGAAAGTGACGATTATGGAGATGACCACGAGAGCTCGGGCGGCCTGGAGGTCTTGAGGTAGAGCCAGCATGGAGTCATAAACCTTGCACTGCATCTGACCTGTGCTTTGCTGCACACAGTTCATCCAGAGGCCTTCCCAGAAAATCTGCGCGGTCACGATGTTGTTGCCAATGAAAGCCGTCACCTTCCACATGGGCAGCGCGCAAATGACGATTTCACCCAACCAGCCGATGATCGCCAGGACAGTGGCCAGAAGCTGAAGCCCAACAGATGCCATTGTAGATTTTGATAGTGTAAAGAACCCGACTCTATCTTTCGAGTAGACGGCACGATTATTTATAGTGGCCTTTGGAGGTTGGGTTTTAATTAATGGGATTGGATGCAGCTGGTGGTGGTTCACGCGCTCGTTGCCTAATTGATTTCACGTACAAGCTCTTCCGAATACTAACTAGCTCGGTATTGCAACTGAAGACTTTTTTACAGTCAATAAAGATGAAAGATTTGTTTAACAAATATAATAAAATAATAAGTATAAAAAGGTGTTTAGTAGGTAGTGAATGGGGTGCAGATAATTAGCTTTAAAGGCCATTTATTGTTGATTGATTAGATCTGTGTTAGATTATGGTTGTGTGGTATACTGGGTCAGCAGCAGAGACATCTCTGAGAACATTAGACAAAAAAAAAAACAACATGAGGTATAAGATTATGTAGAAGAGCAATTACATCTACACCAATTGCAGTACTACAAATTGAAATGGGGACATGTGTATAGAAATAAGAAGAGTTCAGTTATCAGTTATTGGGTAAATTTGAAAGGTCACAGTCAAGAACATCCAAAAAACACTAAAGTCATATTTGGGGAAAAGAGAGGAGGCAAAATAAAAGTTTTGCATAGACTTTTAAAAAAGCAACATAAATCTATGTGAGTCATTTGAAAATTAGTCCTACTGTAGGCTACCTTTGCCAGTAATTAAATCATGGTTACGAGACACAACAGTATACGCTATTAGAGAAGAGACAAGGATGAAGAATGTAATTTGTTTATATTTGTTTTATAAAAAATATTGCTAATATTGTTAATCTATTCTCAAAGTTGGGTTGGGAGCTGGGTTTGTTCTACGCAAGCTATTATGACTTTCACCTTAATATTTTAGCGTATGTATACCTGGCTGAATTGCACTGTAGGTGGTGAGAACGAGTCTTCCAATGAAAGATGATAAGATGATGATGATGATGATGATGGTGATGAGTCTTTGTGTGTATTCCTACTGTGAAATTACTGCATCAAATGTGACGTGCTTACATGGATGCAGTTCACTAGTGAATCTGATCAATGTTAGCTCCACATCTAACTATCAGGCACCTTTAGAGTTTATGCATTTGAGTACAACATATACAAATAAAATGGACCGAGTACTTTTTAAAATGAATGATGGTGAATGAAAGTCCAACCGGTGAGCCATCTGACAAAAAAAGTGACCTTCTGAATCAAATCAGCAGGATCTGGATCTTTCACTAACTTTGAAGACACTATTGGCCACACTTAAATGGACATGACCTGTAATCTAGTTATTTTAGCTGGATTTAGCTGGTCATTTATCAGCCTGTCCAGCCAAGACAGGGCTGGAAATGGCTGGAAACCAGCCTGGAAGTGGCCAAAACCATGTTCAAGTGTTTTTTAGTGCAAAAAAAATGTTTTTTAATTTTTATTATGTTTTTAAATCTAAATGATCTTTTGAAGAACCTTTAATAAAATGTTTTTAGGGAACAATGCAGGTTATTCTCTGGTAACACTGTGAATCACTCTTTTGGTCCTTGTTTTTTTGTTAATTGTGCCATTTAAATTGTGGTGAATTTGCCCTGATCTGATTCTGAATGCAATCTGATTGTGATCATTTAAATTTTTTTATGTATTTTTAGAAAGAATCATCTTCATCATTACAGTATGATGACAGTCTCCCAGAGTTTGAGGAAATAAAAATGTAAAGCAGAACAGAATCTTCATCAGTCATGAAAAATCTTGTCTACTTTACCAAACCCACCCTGAGCCACATGCTTTTTTCTTTCAGAGGGTATTTACCAAAGCCGGCAGTGTCAGTGAAGAGGAAGAGCAAGATATTTGGTGTGTAAAGACAACACTGATAAAGTAAAGGTAATTGTCATGACATTTTGTTGTTTTTATGTAGAAGAAATTTATTGCTGTCATTTTACCATGATGCAAAATAGTATTGCTTCATTTGTGTAAATTTACAGTAATCTACATTAAATTCAAGAATATCTATTTATTTACTAAAAAATTCACTTTCATATTTGACCATGGACTACTGAGGAGTCAATAACTAATACTAGTTCATTTTAAGAAACTGAGATTATACATACATAAAAGCTGAATGAAAAAAGCTTTCCATTTCTGTGTGCTCTGTTAGGATATAACAATATTTGGCTGAGATATGCAACTAATCTAGAATCTGAGGGTTTAAAAAATCTAACTATTGAGAAAATCCCTTTAAAAGTGTCCATTTAGCTTTTAGCCATGGATATTACTAATCAGAATATAGGTTTGGATAAATTTAAAGTATGTTTGTGGACCAGGGTCACATTATTCAGCATGTTATCAAGTTTGTATTTATATTTAAATACTTTAATGCATTCAGGGAACATACATATTAAAAGCTGCAACAACCAATAACCACTGAATGTGTGTGGTAAATATGAGGAAAATTAAAAAGGCTGTGATAAAATTACTTGATTGTTAAACCTTTTATTATTTTTTACCCTTTTATTTTTTATTGTTTGAAATTTTTGCTTTCATTGAGAACAAGTAAACAGAACCATTTCATGTGTCTTAAACATATACATGCCACAATTATTGAGAATTGCCTCTCACTGAACTCATATCACCACATTGTTTTGAAACTTTTTTCACATATTTTACATAAGGGTTATTTATAGGCATTTATGGCAATAACTAAAGCCGATAAATAAATAAATACATATAAAAAAAGGATCTGAAGGAGAGTTTATGTGACCAGAAAAAGTCTCTCTTTGATAGTTCGGTTGTTCAAATCCCACCCCGAACAGTTGAGTGGGTCTTATATAACCCCCCACTCGTGCAAAATACAGTTAAATGAAAGGAGCGGGACAAAATGGCATCTTTGGGGATGCAGATTTTAGGAGTTGCCCTGTCGTTTGTTGGGACGCTTGGGTCGATCATAACCTGCGTCCTCCCTATGTGGAGGGTCACAGCCTTCATTGGCAACAATATCGTGACGGCGCAGATGATCTGGGAGGGTTTATGGATAGTTTGTGTGGTGCAGAGCACTGGTCAGATGCAGTGTAAACTCTACGAGTCGATGCTCGCGCTGGAACCGGACCTGCAAGCCGCGCGCGCTCTGCTCGTGGTCTCCATCCTGCTCTCAATACTGGCTGTTCTCCTGGCGGTCGTCGGAGGCAAATGCACCACCTGCATCGAAAATAAATCCGCCAAGGCAAGAGTTGTCGTATCTGCAGGGGTGATTTTTCTACTCTCCGGACTGCTGTGCCTCACTCCTGTCTGCTGGACGGCGCACAACACAATTCGGGATTTCTACAACCCGCTGCTACAGGACGCGCAGAGGCGCGAGCTCGGAGCTGCGCTCTACACCGGCTGGGGCTCCGCGGGGCTGATGCTCATCGGCGGAGCAATTTTGTGCTGCCAGTGTCCTGCCAAAGACCAGCGAGCGTTCGTGGCCAAATACCCGGCACCGAAATCAAACGGATCGGACAAAGAATTTGTATGAAGGACATTTAGGGGACGATCAGAACTTTGGTCGAAATGTGCCTTTTATTGGTGTTGTATCGAGCATGCTTGCCGTTTTTATATAGCTTATGTGTTTTTTAGTTTTAATATAGAACAGAAAAAAACTTTACAATAAGGTTTAATTTGTTAACATTAGTATAATTAATCACCAACTAACAAACTTTTACTTAAAATCAAGTTAGTGCTGTTATAGTTATGTTAAGTAAATGTCCTGTTAAACATGCACTTGAACATTTTAATAAACTAACCTAGCAAACTTCATGCAAAAATGTATTTCGAATTTTTAGATAATGCATCCACTTATGTTAACACAAACTTTATTGATATCTGTTATACCATTTTATGCACCTTTTTTTTCTAACTAATTGCACAAAGCAAAAATAAACCTCTGTTGAAATAACAGTCAAGTGACAATCTTTTTTTGTTTTTAGTTGGTAAAATACATTAGATTTAGTGCATACAATCATTCAGCTCCTTTATATATATATATATATATATATATATATATATATATATATATATATATATATATATATATATATATATATATATATATAATTAAAATAAAATCAGCCTCTTTGAGGTCAAGTTATTTTCATTTAATAGAATTGTACTGTATATTGGCCTGTTAATGTTAGATTTTATTTTATATCCATTATTATTTTATAAAATATTTATGAAACATCTCATTTAGAAACAGTGTTTATTTACTTATGTAAAAAATCAAACATTAATTCTGCATTTCATAACCAAAATAAATATTTTGGTTTATGAAACAACACATGCATTTTTAAAATAGAGTTATAATATTTTTTAATAATTTCAGGAATTCTTTCTTGCACTGATCTAAAAACACTATTTGCTTACATCTCTAGTTTTGCTTGTCCTAAACAGAGTGCTGTTATACACAACTGTATAATTAATTCTTCCTCTTGTTTACTTTGCAAAGAAGTTGGAGTGCAAAGAGTTTCTCCTTGACAACGGTAATAACTTATCCATTGTGTGCAAGTGTAATAAAAACAGCAGCACAAAACAGCAGCTGTAGGATGGTCAACAGAGAAGCGCTTGCTCACTGTATGTAAATAGATCTGTATTTTAAGACATTCATAATCAATCAAACACTAGATTTTTAGATTTTTTATTGCATACAAACAATAATTCACTTTCACATGCATCAACTCAGTCATTTTCAAGCATTTAACCAATGACAGCAGTAATTTGCATGTTAGCCAACTGCAGGCACACAGTAAATCCATTAGCATTCGCTTTGAGTCATTCTTTACAGTAAGTGCCTCATATCTTCAACTTATGCTCATTTTCTTACACGTAGTTAATTGTTGGGGTCATAGATCTGCCATGGGTGTACTTGGCTGCAATGTAGGGCCTTGTATTATTGGATGGGCAGTTCCAACAAAGTAACCCACCGCCCAACAGCAAAAGGCCTCCAGACCCCCAGCCTATATAAAGACAGGCTCCCAGCTCCCGCCGCTGGGATGCTGTTAACAAAGGGTTGTAAAAGTCTCTAATAAGAGTGTGCGCTGACCAGCAAATAGGTATCAAGATGAGCAAACCAGCAATGATTAAAACCACCCCAGAAAAGATACACGCTTTTGCTTTTGCTGCTTCGTCTTCCAAACAATTGGTACACTTCCCACCAACCACAGCCATGAGGAACCCAAAGATGCCCACCATGATGGAGATGATGACCATGGCTCTGGAGGCCTGCATGTCTTGTGATAGAGCCAGCATGGAGTCGTAGACCTTGCACTGCATCTGTCCGGTGCTCTGGACCACGCAGCTCATCCACAAACCCTCCCAGATGATCTGGGCCGTGACGATGTTGGCGCCAACGAAGGCTGTGACTCTCCACATGGGCATACCACAGGCGATGATGGTGCCCAACCAGCCTATCATGGAGAGCATGATGCCCAGGATCTGGATGCCTTGAGATGCCATCGCCGCCGGACACAAATCACTTCATGCGTGACTGAACGAAAGTGTCTGAGGGGGTTTTATAGCACGAAAACCTTGGGCGGGGTTCAAGACAGAATAAAAAGAAGTGGAGAATAATGGATATTTGATATTCTTTGGCTATTGTGTATGGGGTTTAAAGAGATACTGTATGTAGACAACATGAGACACCTTCTGGCAGCTCAAAAAAGTAATGAAGCAGCTAATATATGTGTTGATGAGACAGCTAAATCAAATCAAATCACTTTTATTGTCAGATCATCAGCAGCATGTGGGCTATGATGAGTGAAAATCTTAGGTGCTAGCTGCAAGCAGTGCAAAAAACGACATACTCCCCAAAAACAAAACAATATACATTTAGCAATATTGACAGTATTACGAATATGACAAATGCTGCTTCTCAATCTGCATACTATGTCCTAAATAGTATTTGAAAATAGAATTAGTATGTCCTAAACCATAGTATGTTAAAAAGAGTATGCCAAAGGTTCCCGGATGGTTTACTATTTCCGGTAAAAATATTAAGAATAGAAGAGTCCATACTCTAACCGCTGATATTGCCCACAGTACATTGCACGATGGACGTGAATTCGATTAGAACTACAAATACGGGTGAAAAGTGTAAACAAACTACAAACATTATGGACACGCGAGACCAACCGTCAAGTAGAGAGGCTTCGGTAAAGTTGTTTGTATGACTGTTAATTAATATCTAGGCCACTGGAAAAAAATTAAATCACGTTTTCTGTGTTATATTTCATCTGCAACAACAATACTGAACTTATTTAAAGACTTGTTTGGATATTAACGTCTGAATGCATAATTACCCAAAGACCTGAGGAGATTTCACTGCATGAAATACTCGTGAATGGGAGATTAACCTGCTGTCCTAAACAGATTAACTGTCCAAATGTATCTTTCTTCGTTTCTAAATGCTACCTCCTAAGATCTGTCTCCCCTGAAAAGTTGTTTGTGATGTTTTGTGTATGGTCTGGGGGGTCCAATTTCGCTATACGAAAGTGTAGTGACAAATAAAGGCTTGATTGATTGATTGATTGATTGATTGCTGCTGCTTCTCTTGAGGTGTTGTTGTGCCTTCCCCAGCACTGCATCTGTGTGAGCAGTCCATGTCAGATCCTCAGCAATGTGGACTCTAAGAAACTTGAAAGTGCTGACTCTCTCAACTGGTGCCCCGTTGATGGTGATGGGAGTGTATTCTTTTTTTCTCTCTCTCCTGAAATCCACCAACAGCTCCTTGGGTTTGCTGATGTGAGAGGTGGTTTTCCTGACAACACTGCGTCAGAGTGTGCACCTCCTCTTAGTAGGCCATCTCCTCATTATTGGTGATTAGGCCCACCACCGTTGTGTCTTCAGCATATTTAATGATGACCTTGGAGCTGTGTTTGGATGTGCAGTTGTGTGTGTACAGGGAGTACAGGAGTGGGCTGAGAACACAGCCCTGTGGAGCACCAGTGTTGAGGATCAGTGTGGATGAGGTCAGGTTGTTCATTCTGACCACCTGGCATCTGCTTGACAGGAAGTCCAGGATCCTGCTGTGTAGGCCCAGAGCCTGGACCTTCACAACCAGCTTGGCCGGCACTATGGTGATGAATGCTGAGCTGTAGTACACAAACAGCATTCTCTCATTTGTGTTTTTGTTTTCCAGGTGAGAAAAAGCAGTGTGCAAAGTGTAAACAATTGCATCATCGGTGGAGCGGTTGTTTCCGTATGCAAATTGCAGAGGGTCAGTGTGAGCGGGCAGTACAGAGCAGATGTAGTTTTTAATCAGCTTTTCAAAATACTTAAATTTTTCAAATTATTTGATAAATAAGAAACGTGTGGTTGTGTTTTGGATGTATTGAATACAGCATTGATAAAACACGTTTTTTAAACTCAAATTTGGGGAAACAGCTGGACAAACCCAAGCAAACGGTTACAGTTGAGTTTTTTATTTGAAATTTAACCCAGTGGTTGGTTTAGGCTGGCTGAATCCACCCCACATTTTTTCAAAGTCAAGGACTGCATGTCTTGATAAAGTTTGTTTTTCTGGTTAAAAATTACCAATTAATCTTCATGGTAATTTGGCTAATCACACTGAATCTGTATTCTTAAGCGATCTGCTTTTCAGTTTGGTTTAAACCTTCTAAAGCTTTGTGCTTTAATTTCTAAATTCATATATATATTTAACTTTTTCCACAGAAAAACTTTAGAAAAGTTAATTGCACGTTGCTGGCATCCATTAATTATCTTCTCAGTTGTATGTTTTCATACAGTCTGCTAGGAGACACACCCCTATCACAGTTAAGGCTATATAAGCACCTTATCCTTGCATTTCTATTCAAAAACATTGTTTAAATTCATATGAAATCATGTATTGGTGCTAATTCATACAAATATGGACCTTTTCCTTCATATGTTTTCATACAATCCGCTTAGCCTACCTGCAGTGATGTTTAAGCTTTGTTGCAGACCTTAATGTTTGAACTTGTTTTGTTCAAATTATCATATTATCAAACCCTGATGGCAAATACATATGAATTTTGTATCATCTCTTTTATACAATTTTATATCTTATGAATATTATGAACCTTCATGCTCGCATTTTTATTCTGAATAAAAAAATACAAGTTTATATGAAGAGTTCAGATGCAAAAACATTATAGTGCCATCTGAATTTTTCTCTTAAAATTAGCATTTTCAGTAACACTTTATTTTAATGGTCCATGAGTATTAGTAGACTGTCTGCTTAATATTTGTTGATACTGCTCCTTCAACAGACATTTATCTGACTATAAGAAACTTTGCAGTTACATGTCAGCATACACTAACCCAAACCCAAACCATAACCCCAATTTAACAGTGTAAGAATTGAAATATTGCAAATATTCTGATATCTTTGACAATTCAAAACATGAGCTGAAAACAGAGACTGGTGACTTCACAACCCACCAGGGAGGAATGCGGGAAAAACCAGTTCCTGCTGAATTTGCATCTGAGTCTGCTTCATCCCCCCAACTCACACATATGGTCATTTCAATGTTTGAATGTTCTAGAATTAACCAAACTGACTTTAACTATCATGTTTGATATCATTTGAAATGTCTCAGTGCGATTGGTACAATGGTCTCATTCTCTCAGAAATAGACATAATCAGAACAATAAATATATAACTTCAGGCATCTTTTGATCCACTGTGAGGGGTGTGACACTAAGTGTGAATGCCTTTTGTTATACATTCACACCCCCTTCCTTGAGGGAATTCTTGGATTATTTAAGGTAAGGACTAAGAAAAGCTCAGGGCGATTCTGCCTAACCAGATCAGCCCATAACATGGGGTCTGCCCCATGTTATGTATATTAAGAAGTCAGGAATGCATCTTTTTCATCTTGGACTTATCTTTGATAATTTGATGTTTTGTATTGATCATTTATGAATTGACTGATTGAATTGGCATAATACATTTACCTGACTAATAAATTGTAATGTTTGACCATATTTTGCTCACTCTGTAATTATTAATTCAAGTAGATTACGCTGTATCCTTGTTTCCGCAAGTCTTGCGTCAGGTCAGTAGACGGACTAAAATCCAATTGAGATGGAGCATTGGCACACTAATTGTGTTTTAGGGATCCGGCTGACTCTTGATATTGATTCATGTGTACTTAGGTGGAAAGGGCGATAACTTCCGTCTAGGTCAACAAGGTGTTGCACGACTAACCTAGATTGGGTACCCGACCTTTGTTTGAAGGTAATATCATTCTAAATTAAGTTCATATGGGAAACCATGGGCTTGGTGAAAACCAAAGTTACTATAGAGTCCAGTAGTCGGGTACATTTATATTAATGCCCTAACCTCTAATTAGAAATGATGATTGTCTTAACTCAAAGGTGTACATCTAAGCGGGACTAACTAAAGTATTTTAGAACGAGCGCGCTGGTAGCGGCCATCTAAAGTATTAGTCAATTTACCTCTGTTTAATATTCAAGACTGACCGGAGTGTGACCGTGAGGGACACCTTCGGCCGAGGCGATTTCTCTGAGCGACATGAGCACCCGAATGAACGGATGTAATAGTTACTAGTGAAGACAAACGGTTCAAACATTTATCTAAATTACATATTGATATAATCTTCTTAATGTTTTATGATTGGAGTCAGATAAAACGAGGATAAATATATTAATATTCTAAACCACCTCATACTAAAATTGGAGTCAGATATGAGTTAAGTTTAATATAAATCAACATTGTGCACTGGAAAGACCGAACATGCAGTGAACCTTCATCCACCAGTGGACACCGGCATTGGGCCAACTGGGTGGACCTTACAACAGTCTATTTATAATCCAATGACAATTAGTTGCAATGTAACTCAAATTCAACAAATGGACCATCAAAATAAAGTGTGACCTTATTTTTTGTCAAGCTCCTATGTATAAGTTGGGTAATTTCCCTTTTTTATCAATTAATATGTTATTTTCATTGCCTTTAATGGGAATTAAGTGAACACAAATAAAGGAGTCTCTGAAAAGGGCTAATTTTAGAAGGAAATTTCGTATGGCACTTAGAGGTTTTTGCATCTGTATATATTCTATATAGCTTGTGTGTTTATGGCTAATTCATATACATTTTTTATCTCATTTGCACATTTTTATATGAATTAATGCTGTGTGAAACACCTTCTAATTCTGCTTCTATACGTTTACATTTGATTTGTAATACTCAATTCATTTCACTTCAATTCAATCAAATTCAATTCATAAGCTGTTCCAAAGCAGCTTTGCAGTGCATCTGTTTGCCTCCTGAATTCAAACTTTGTTGACTAACAAGTAACTGTAATAATTGTAAGTTCATAATGTGTTTAATTATCAGCAGGTTTGAGTACACAAGCCAAACCTCAGATCAAGTTTAGCCTTGTCCTTAATGAACTGGCTCCAAGAGAAAACCTGAAAAACTACATCTAACCTGCTGTTTGCCAACTCCCTTTGGGAATGTTTTGCACACAGAAACTCTTTTGAAATCTTTAAAGTGCCACAGGGTTAGTGACACATAATAGAGGCCTGTAATGCAACACCCATGTCAACGCCCATGCAAATTCAAAAGACAATCCACAAGACAGGTGTGATATTAACAAAATGTATTTATTTATTAATTCCTTTAAACATATATCAAGAAATAAACCTGTACAAAGTTGTAGAAAAACCTGTACTTAGGCTGTACAAAAATGCTAATATTTACAAAATCATACTTGAAAACATACAAAAGTGAACACTTTTATAATGACCACGGTACAAAAGAACATTTGACCAAACTTAAGCAAAAATAATTTTCAGGTTAACCTCCTTTAACTGCAGAGGCTGTTTCAAACGTGGTTCCCCATTTTCTTTGTTTGTTTTGCATATATATTGGTAAAAAAAAAAAAAAAAAAAAACATTCAGCATCTGCT